ATGCTTCCTTCGTCACGGAACTCATTCGGCGCTGATCTCGTAAGACAAGTGGTTTTTGGAATTGTGTGTATGTGTGTGGGTGTATGTATATGTTAGTGTGCTATTGTGTTTTTTTGTGTACGGTATACTGTACTTGTTTTGTATGCCGCCGTCTCGTCATGCTTTTGTCACGTCGTTTATTTATATGGTGTCGTGATCAGCGTGATGTAGCGGTCGTTAACATGAGTTTTGTCTTTGCAGAAGTGCATCGATCGCTACACGCCCAGCCATGACCTCTCGCATATCTACCGACAGTCGCTATGGAACGAAGAGTTTTGCCACCGTCCGAGTTGGTGTGATGCCCGTCTTGCCCTCAAGCAAATCCGCAAAGTATGCGTTTCGTTACGTCTCCTCTGTCTTTGTTTATTTGTCTGACTATCGATCCGATCTGAACGTGGATGTAACGATAAGATCGATCGCTTGATCACTTCTCTGTGATCCTCTCCTATCAGTCGTGTTTTGTCTTTTTCCTACTGACCTAATATTTCTATTTGCTTAGGGTCGCGCCAAGGGCAACGTTCCCGCGCTGTGGATCAGAAGCATCCTTCAACGTGCTTTGTTCCGGCTAGGCTGTACGATCCAGCATCATGCCGGCGAGGTGCTCTTCTGCGGCATCCTCGTTCTGTGTCTCTTCTCCATTGGCCTCAGGAATACTTCGTTCGAAACTGACATGGACCAGCTCTGGGTAGAAAGTAAGGTTTTTGTTTTTCCTTTGCCAAATATGTGCTTGGTTTCTGTGGTTTATTCCGTTTCTTCGAGTCATCGATTTTCGTTCTGCTCTTGTTCGTCGTCGCCGAGTTCGTCCTCCTCCTAATCGCTGCAATCATCGTGATTCATCGTTGTCTGCTAGCTTCACTCACTAGCCATTGACCCTCACTAGCCACTGCCACGTACGTCTGTCGGCAACCCGGCAAGCTTCATCTTTCGATCGCAGTACTTGCCATTGTCTTTCCCAATGTTAACTCGTTGCACGTTTGTTTTTGTTTACGTCAATTTGTTCACATTTTTACACGCTGCCCCCCCCCCTCACCGCATTTTCCGGTGTTGCCTTTCGAATTTCCGTGAAGTTCTCGTTGCTTTGTTGTCCTATTTCGATATGTTCATCGAAGGGTCTCCATTCCTTGTCTTTTCCTGCTCCTCATGCATAATTGATCAATCTTCGTTACGCGCGTCACAATTTTTTCCTCGTCTACACCGTTGAGGTCGTTTATGCCCTGGGGCGTGCCTTCGTCAACCTTTTTTCATCTACCTTGTTTGCCCGTGTCGTTGTAGCCAACACCGCAGTCGCCGTTTGCTTCCACTTTCGCTTCAGGAAGTGCACTGGCGTTTACTGCCACATTAACGCATTGTTTTTACTATTTGTATTACTTTTAAATGGTATTGTTTCTTTGATGTGTGCCGCTGTATGTAATTCTGAAGTTCTTTCCTTCGCGCTCCATGTTCGCCTTCATGGATAACGAAAGATCCAAGAAATTTTACGTTTATTAATTAATCAGGTACAGCTCATCCATGGCGAAGATGAAGTAGAAATAGCTTGCTATGAAAAACGTATAAATGTGTTAGGTGATAGGAAGAAATAAATGAGCCGTCTAAATCAGCTGATGTGAAATCGCTCCGGGAGGTCGGCCACCCGCATTGTAGGTCGATCAGCGTTCCACCAATATCTGAAAGTGACAAGTTTCCGGCTTGTTTCCGTTTCTGTGCCCAGCTGAATAGAAACCGGTCGAGTCGCAGCGGATCCTTGGAGGTCAAGGTTCAACAGACGTCAACTGCTATCGGAATGGAGTACCTGGCCCTCATACTGCGAAACTGTCGGCCAAAATGAATCTGGCCCAAAAACGGCTGGAATTCTTGAATCGATCAACGACCGGACTTCTCAACGCGACTGTAAAGCTAATCGATCCTAAGCGGGCAGTTCGCTGCCTCAATTATTCGATACTGGAATTGATTTAGTTCATTCCTTATGGTGGACTGAGGGATATTTCGTGCTTTCAATTTTTTTCGAATCAGGAGGCACATTAGCCTCTATAACCTTATTTGTATGGGCTCTTACGTCAAATCTTTTGGGTAGGTCTGCCTATAAGTTCGTTAATGAATTGACTCGAACTGGTAATTGAGAAATCGTGGTTTCGACCAGAATTCATTTCGGTTCAGTTGTTGGGTTCTTAATTTATTTTTAATAGAGATAACTCAGTCGGCACAGACCCGGCTTCATGGTTCGAACGATGATGGGATCGAATTGCGGTCAGATCATTTGTTTCGCCAATAGGAAGCAGATAAATGATGTCACTTACCGGGAACAAATACCTACTGCCTTGCATGCATCACTCTATAGATATTATCTAAAATGTAAAGGTGTCTTGTTTGATCACATCGACAGGCTGAGCCTTGATGGTGGGGTAACGAGAGGTAATTTCGGCAC